ACGTAATTCTGGTAATAGAAATCTTTATCGATCGTTTTGTTGCAATCGATAGGTTGGGCTTCGCTGCCTGTCACTGCCACGCCGCTGAGCAGCCTCTGGAAAACTCCACCTGGGCAGGATGCGGAAGTGCAGTGGCGAGCCAGCATTCGTGATTGAGTGATCCAGCTACTGGGTGCCACACGCTCAGCATGTTGGCTCCGGTCGTGCTCCACGAACACAGGCAGGGGAGCTCCCACCTTTCAACATGTTTGCTGACTGATGCCAGCTAACTTGTCTGCATCGACTGAATCGTATCGGCCGGACCATGTGAGATCGATGGAGCAGGGTGCTCATGTGGAGTCCCAAGGACGCGGAGTGCCTATGATCAGCTAGGCTCTGGGACAGCATGTGCCATATGAGAGCCCATTGCGCATAGATGACAACGCTGCAGGTGTTCACGAAGTACCAGGAGGCAGAGGTCACATCGAGCAGCGGCCTCCGCTGTGCCGAATCCGGCGGTGTAACCTGCAAAGCCGGGGCTGAACTTCTCGCCTCTGCTGGGGTTTTGTGGGCGCGGACAATATTCTGTACCCTCTTTCCATGGATGGTCCGGCGCTTGGTCTCTTGAATCTCCTCGCCCTTGCAAGCCTTAGCCTTTCGCCTAGCTCAAGTCACCAATGCCCTGCAGCCTGGAACCTAGGCCAATGATCTTCCCAAGGAGGATGAACAACAGGTATGAACCACAGACATATAGACCGCAGTGACATCACTTGCTGGAGAAAAGCCACAAGAACTCCTACAAACAACTGCAGCAGTGTAAGAAAAACCCACAGCGACAGATCTGCATTTCCAAACAATACTGCTTGTCCCCGCGTGGCACAAATTCGCTCGAAGCGGCGTGGAGGCAAACCATGCCGGCTCAGTGTCTGCGAAGCCTGCAGCGGGAGGCTGCTGCCGTCTGCACAAGTTCAGCAAGACGGTTCCCATGCGCTCTTACCCGAATAACATGAACCCCTTGAAGCAGTGAGGCAAGCCTGACAACTCTATCGATACAGAGGTGGATAGGGGCTCATCTCTCGCCATGACCGCAAACCCCGCCTCAAACCCAGAAGACTCGTTCACAAGCCCAAATTATGTCTTCATCTTGCGAAATCTGCCAAAACATCCTCGTTTGAAGCACAAGTCCAGATTGTGGCTCCCAGCCCAGGCAGCGATCGCAGCAGCCACAGGCTCCTGTGCGCAAAAGCACTCAAATACACCGAAGAAGCAAGGCCCCACTGCTGTAAAGATTCCCCCGCGTGGCTTTGCCCTGGCTCAGGAAGCATTGTCGGGGGAGAGGCTACACTGCAAACATGGTATCGACCATGGAGATTCGTAAGCGTCGTTGGTTACAAGGGTCCGAGTCGCTGGAGTCTTTCTTGGCCGTTCAATGCAGAAACGTGACTGCATGCTTCCACCTGGTGGGTTAGCATGAGCTGTTCCTGTTTTCGGCAGCTCTCTAGATGCCGATGCACTCTATAGGCCCCGGCACTACGCCGCAAGATCCCTGGAGTGTCCGTCGCTGAAGCGGCGAGGCTCTCAGAAGCCAGCAGCGCCTGGCTGTGCGGGGAATCTCGGAGAAACTGCGGCACTGCGCCGAGCAACGAAGAGCCCAGTTACGCGGCCTAGCCTCGAAAGACCCGGACTATGGGCAGCATGCTTCGCAAGAAATCACAGCTGCCCTTCCTGTCCCGGACGTTGAAACACTCGTGTTGCCTGGGACCCCAAGGCCACGACACGCTTCCGACACGCTTCCTAGGCCTAGGCTCAGACGTGCCTCGCGCGACCGGCATCGTGCGGTCGGTAACCAACACGGCGACGAGGCCAAGCACAATGCCTGATCTCAGTGTCGCGAAAGACCATGGCATCAGGGGGGGGGGGGTTCGCAGGTCGAGGGTTCATTAATTGCTGCGAAAGAGGTTGGAGTCACCGACGCAAAACATCTGTATGCAACCTTCGCGGCAATCGTCACCAGAAGCGGATTGTTTGCAGCAGCACAACTTCGCAACAAAGGTGACGGCCATACAGTACCTACAACTGTCCTTGATGCTGCAACTGTTTCTCACGCACTTCTTGGGTTTGGGCCCACGAGAAGCATTTGTGAGACGACTGACAACGCTAGAGCGACTTGCTTCTGCCCGGTTTCTATACTTGCCCCTAGTTTCTGCCCCATCAGCCTCCAATGCCTCTTCCGTGAAGTGGCGCCCAAGACCTCAGGATGACGAGAGCTTTGGCCGGCCCCGGTGGATCTGGGGGACAGACATCCCGAAGCCCCAATAGGTCAATAGGGGTCTCTCTGAAGTCTGACTTCTCTCAAGACTAAGATGGCTTTTTGGCGAGACTCTGAAGCTCCGCTCCAAGGCCGGAAGGTGGAGACGCGTGTCGCCGACAGCCGGACCTTCGGAGCCCGCCGAGAGGAAGATCAAGGGCTCCGCTCCGGGCGGGGCTCTTTCTGGCAAGGGCACTACCACCCAGCAAGCAATGGCATGCATCTGGAATCAGGCCACACATTCTGGGCTGGTGCAACTTGCAAGTGAGAAGGCAGACACTCCCCATGACTGTTCTGCTCCTCCGAGTGTTTGCAAGTACTGCATGCACTTGGTGGCTTCGAAGGAATTCTTCGTTCGGGGCTGGGACCACTCCAGCTGCTGCTGGAGAGCTGCTGTAGGGCCGGGAGCCTGGACATGCGTGTTAGCTTGGGCTGAGGCTTACGGTGCCGGTCTGGAGCGGCACGTGCAGAGGCCCACTTCACTCGCGCACAATTGGCATGTTGTCACGAGTGCCACACGGCTGCTGTCAGTGGAGAAAGAGGATCTGCTGAAGGACTATGAGGACTCGCAGCCCGATCAAAACGGATCAAAACCGGCATGTCTTGGACTCCCGCAGCCGTCCAGCGTATGCTCCAGCGAAGTTTGCCAGAGCATCTTCGGACAGCATGCCGCTGGCCTGAAAGCCACGGTTCTTGAACAGATATCTTCGATTCGAGAGCCCTGGGCCCTTGTGCGCTCTCCAGGAGCTTCCAGGAGCTCGCACTGCGACTTCGTAGGATTGGTGGAGCGGTGGTTGTCAACTCGGAATGCGTGGTTTGGGCTTTATCAGGGGTGGGACGCATAGCCCTCAAACCCAGCCATTCCCGGGAAGCCCGAACGAGTCCAAGCCTTCCCAAGGACACAGTGGACCTCTTTTCGATGAAGAGTTTTGGGACTCGGGCGTAATGTCCAGTCTGCTGAGAGCAAGCCGAAGCTAAGGAATTTATGCATGCGACTCCAGGTTGCAAGGCCCAAAGGACAGATCCTCAGCCCCTGACCTTGAACCGACTACAAGCACCCCCAAGTGAAACCGATAGCCTGAAGCCCCTCGCCACGAGAAACTCCCAACACCAGCCCGTTGTTACATCATAACTTATATGACTCTCTATCATATTAAACTATACTGAATAATGATAATGTCATAATCATCATGTACTACACAATACTGCGGTAAATACTCCTTTTCATTACTTATATTCGACTATATTCAATCTAAATATGCGATATGTCGTCTGCTATAAAGTACATACTACACATTGTATAAGCTGCGCCCTATGTTATGTGTTGGGTATCACATGCTTTCTACAGTAGACCGCATCAGATTCAGCATGACACTACATCATCCCCTTTCTCAGATCCTCTTTGGGCCGCTGTGAGGGCCTCCAAGAGCTCTAAGGCCTCGACCTGCGGGAGGACTCCGACTCCCACACACTCGGCTCCTTTTGGGCTTTGGTCCCAGAATCCTAGAAAAAAGGACAGTATGGTATACTGTATAGTCTAGTATAGTATAGCATGGTATAGTACCAAGTCCCTTAGAACGGCGAGGGATACTTGGGCCGGGGGCTTCCGTGGCATGTTCCCCAGGCGCAGACGAAATCTCACGCCAGTGAAGCCTCAAACTATGCATGCACTTTGCACCTGTACCCAAAGATGCTGTTCCACATCCCCGTCGACTTAAGCTTCTCGCATCAGCACGCATGCAAAGCGCCTGCCTGGCGTCTCTCAGAGCTCTCGGACAGCAGTCCCCGCAGCAGCGGCGGGAGCGGGGCGAATTGGCCACTCAACTGGATTCGGGGGCTCCCGACGGATTGGGCTTCGGGGATCAGTACTACCTGCGATGCTTACCTTAACCTTGAAACCTAAAATTTGCGAAGGTTGTATGGTGCTGTGGGAAGTCTGACATGTACTTACATGAAACTAGGGCGAGAGTTCGACGAGGTGCAGACAGAAAGTGAATCGAGAAGGAAAAGGGGGAGAGAGAGAGAGAGAGAGAGATAGAGGGAAAGAGAGAGCCTTGGCATCGATTCCTGACACAAACAGCCTTATTACCCAGAACTGCCATTGCTTCATTTGGGCTGCCTGCAGTCAAGCCCTGCTGTACCCGAGGTATGCCTCAACCATGGGCCACAGCGCTGCAGCCGTCACAGCGTCGCCACCCAGCCGCTGCTCCTGCATGGCCTGCATGGTAGAGTTTGTCTCAGCTTGGACTGTCGTGGAGCTGGGTTGGCCAAAGGGGACCTGTAACTGCTGCTGTCCTCTGCGGGTTGTTTCGCAATATTGCGGCGTTAAGGCATTGAGGAACCCCTCCGATCCCTGCGTTCACATGGTCTGGCAGTAGCATCACTGGATATCACTGGCCACATCCCTTCCGGCAGAAAAAAGGCATACTATCGGGGGCCTTAATGATTTGAATAGCGCTTTGGGGTACATTCTAGTAGGGCTCCTTCGGAACACTATTGGTAATTATTCCGGCATTTCGGCCTCTCTACAGTACCTGCGAAATCCTGAACCGCCGAAGTCGGTCTTCACCTTTCGGCATCCCTGACCTGCAAACACAGGCCGGCCGCCCGCCATTCTGGCCGGCAGGCGCCGAGGGCTGCCTTTCATGAAGCCGGACGTGGAATGCAGTGAAGCAGTTTCAACAAGCAGAAGCAGGCGAGCACGTTCTTGGCGGGGTCTCAGAAGCATGATGAAAGATCCAGCATGCGTCCCGCATCTAAATCAATGCTGGAAAGTAATGTAAGGAAACTGCAGGACATCTAGAACCACACAGCCAAGGTTCGTTGAAACTGATCTCATCGCAGGCCATCCTCTTCCTCAGCATCTCCTGGCATGCAAATCCCAGAAAATGGCTTGGCTGTTCAGCCAGTAGCAAGCCATGGTCGTCCTCCGATTGTTCTGCGGTTCAGAGCCGGGATTCTAGCGTACTAGACCTATCCAGATATGAACGAATCTGAATGACAATGGTCGAGTTTGTGGGCTGCTAGGCATCTAGATGCAAGGCTGCGCTTGTGAATGCTGAGGCGAAATCCTCGCCAAGAAGCTCGGTGGCCCATGGCCAGGCATTTGCTTTCCTGGCCGAGAAAGAGGACGTGCTACTTGGGGGCTTTGGGTTGCAATAGCAAGAAGTCCTAGCGTCTGGGATGGATACGAGCTTCAAATCCAACCCGCAGATAAATTCTACATTTCGATATATCCGTGCAAGGCCCAGTGTCACCCTGTGTGCTTGCTGGGTAGCGCAAAAAACATAACGAAAGGAATTATATGCCACTCAGAACAAGATGATCATGATGCGAACTCCCAGGCACTCACGGCAAAACATGCCGCAATTGCTCGCAAGCACTCATTGCCTCAGGACGTTCAGAAGGGCCATGGGTGCGAGTGCCCCTATGTGTGTTTCCCATCGTCAGTGGTAGTGTGTGCGAGTGTGCGCTGATTGCCTACAGGAATCATCAAGCCACCCACGATACATGAGCTTTGGGAAAAGGATCTTCTGCACACACGTCCAACCTTTCTACCTGTCTTAGATATCCCCTATATTCGAAGCATCCGAAAGATTCCCAGACCCTCAACGCACACTTGCTTCTCCATCATGGGTCTGAGTCTGTGCCGCCGTCATTCGACATCCCTTCTGTTTTACGGGTATAGCATCGCCCAGTGAGGGTGCGGACACGCTTCCCAAGCAGGTGACAACACCGACTAAGAGGAAAAGGAAAGCCCGTTCAGCCCGCGGCAGAGTTGCAAGTGACGAGGTTTGCCTCCACGCCTGGATGCGAGTGTAGGAGTGGGGTGAGATAGGATTGTTCGTCGAGACGGGGACGGTGCTTGGTGTTGCAAGGTCTTCAGGTTTCGAAAGTAAGCTGAGGGAAAGTAGCCAGATCCTCGAACCAAGCTCAAAGGCAAACTCCACAGCTCTCGGGGATTGCGCCCTGCACGGATAGGCCACGCAGCAGCAGTTCGATGCCGCTTCCTCAGCAGCATTGAGAGCAACCGAGCTCCCTCTCCATTGAAGAAACGAAGGACTCAAAGCAAACGTGTCTGCTTCTCCTCCATGCACAGATTGTCCGGCCAACGGGCCAAAAGTCGACAGATGTATTTATCAAGCGTGTTCTGCCTCTGCCTCTGCTATCTTGAAGGGTTTGGTGGATCGGCAACTCCTGCATGGCCATGGGGCCTCACCTCATCCATTTAACTGGGAGGCCGGGCGCCAGCGGCTTTGCTTTTCCATCGCCTTGTTGAAAGGGTTGGGAGCTGCATCTTTTCCCCAAGGTATAACATCGTGTAACTAGGAGCACCAAGATGGAGCACGACGATGCAGAATGCGATGCGCATTCCGGCGTCTGGATCATCACCATCGAAGCACAGTGCACTTCTCAACAGTTTCGAACACAATGATTACCGACTTCGCGCAGGTGTCCCCTCTGCTCGGCTCCTTGCGCTGATGGTTGCGCCGAAGATCATCGCGCTCGGCCTCACCCCTGCAGTGTTGGGAATGGAGAGGTCCATCCAAGCACCGAGCTTCTACTGAGAGCGGCCTTCCCATCGGGAGGTGCACAGGAGCGCCAGAGTTCGCGCCCACTGCAAACCTTCGGCTAGGCCCAGGCATAGTCGGCTCTCATGCGGAGAATTGTTTCGTGTTTTGACTGGCGACTACCGAGTTCAAAGACGATCGGCCAATCTGCGCATTGCCTGGGCTTTCGCTCTGCCTGCTCCGTCTATCTGACACGCTCGCATAGTTAGGCTCTACCGCACAGTCAGAACTGTTGCAGAGGAACCTACAGGTTCAGGGTTCAGGGCCCTTAGATTGAGATATCTTTTATAGTGTACCAGTAGGGGAGAAAAACACGACTGCCCTGAGCAGCAAGGAAGCCTCGATCGGCCGCACTGGCCGTAGCCGCGAAGGTTCTCACCTAGAAAAAGGAAGAACAGCGTCCCCATCGGTCTTCAGCATGTGCCTCCCGAAATTTCGGCCACAGCATGCAGCTATCTCTATGCATCCAGTCAAGCTCGCTGTTCTGCCAAGCTGTAGGGGCCAGGCGCCAGGAATCAGACTTTGCTGATTCAACAAGCCTGAAATGGGAAGTGGAAGGTTTGCTGTGGACAGGACGTGTCCGGCACGGTAGAAGCCTTACATGTCCGCAGCAGCCTTTCTCCCACCGAATTCACCCCTGATCTCAGGCTTCGGCGCAAGACCACCAGCGCCAGAGCCCATTTCAGCCCTCGAGCCTGGACTGCGGGGTCAAGCGCAAAGATTCATCCTGGGAGCTGCTCGTCTTGCTTCGATGCTGCATTGTCGATGCCAAGGGCGCTGCGCAAGCGGTGATCGCCTGGCTGCACGTTGATGTCGCTGGAGGCACGCCTCACCGTGCACTGAGCAGCTCTCTAAGCCCTTTTCAACCTCCAACTTGTGGTTGAACTCGAAAGATGACCGAACAAAACCAACCAAGCTTCCACGCTGACAACCTTCCGAACCTTTGGCAGTCTTTCAATGTCTTTCAACTTGCGTAAACTACCACAACTCCCTTCGATCAACGGTATGTGCACCTTGCACCTCGACAGCGTGAAAGATCGACAGGGACTGCTCCTGTTGAGCTGCGATTCGCATGCTTGGCATGCGTCTCGAACAACAGGATTTAACAGCCTCGTCTGAAAGGAATCGGGGTGTGGAGTACTTGATCGTTGGTTGAGACTGATAAGGCAGCGAATGAAGACGCAGAGAGCTTGCATGCAAGAGCATGAAGTCAATTGGGGAGGCAGCTGCGAGCCCCAGCAAACCACAAGTCTGAGCTCTGTGAGCCACCAAAGGATGACATCTTTGATGCGACGGTCGGACCACTTACACGACATGTTTGAAGCCACTGCGGGTCCCATCGCAAACTTTGCGTGCTGTGACACGCTGACATCGCCTTGGCGTTGCACTGTCGATTCATCCATTGCCGTCTGACGGAAGGTTCCGTTGATGAAGAGACGGGCAAAATCCTTTCTAGACCGTTGCCGCGTCTGATCGACCCTGACATCTATTTGTATCAAATCACTAAACCCCCATAAAGCTCATGCCGCTGGCGCTTGGCTTCATGTTGTTGTCGGTTCCTCATCAGGTGCGGGGTCTGCACAAACTACTAGTATCGATGTTCTCACTATCGTGAGCACTGTAAGGCCAGCTGTGTCAAGCAGCCGTGCCGCATCGCCTCCGAGGCCGCGACCGATCGGAAGCAAATCTTGTCGGCACGAACGCCTGATGCTCTCGTGCTGGGAGGGGCTTCTTTCACCCAGGCCAGACCACAGAGTTCCGCGTAGTGTCTTGACGGCGCGGCGTCTCGCCGGACTAGGAGGCATGATTTTCTACACAAGCTGCGCGCCACTTCCTGGGCAGGCTTCCCAACTTGACTCGAAACAGCTGAGAGCTTCATTGACATGACATCTCCGATGGCCAACCTTTGAAACCTTCAGCCCTCTCAATTGTTGAATCCCGCAGTGCCGCAGGATGCCGCAGGTGGTGCCTCGAAGGTTCTTCAGCAGCATTATCGCTGCTTCCCAGGCGCTTCCTGAGTGCAGAAAAGCGGGAGAGTAGAGGCCGGCGGCTGGCCTTCGGAGCCAAAAGGAGTGTCTCTGCAAGGGTTTCGGACTGACGAACGGAGATGCAACAGGGACGGGGTTGGGTCGGCTGAAGCTCTGCCCTTGAGCGTAGGATCTGGCTAGCACAAGATGCATTGCGATTGCATCTAAAAGCATCAAAACGACACCAAATGCGAGCCCAACCTTGCAACAAAGCACTGGCGCCTTCCTCGCAGGCGCCCAGGGCAGCTGCCAGCAGAGCTGGCTCTGGTGTGGGTGCGGACGCGGCCACTGCCAACGCCTGCACAAATAAACAAAGCAAATTCAGAGCAATATGCCGACCTCACAAGGCAAGTCAGACTCAGCAGGAAGGGTACCAGGTTACTCGGGTCTAGTGCCATGATGGGAATCTGCTGTCATCACAAGTTGTGGCCCGCAAACTACGTCACGGCCCTGACAGGCAGGGTACTTGTACATACTGATGTGCTTCACCGCAAACCCTCAGCTCAGGCAAACGTACGGCACGGAATCAAATCCCTTCATGTATCAACATATCGGCGTCTTAGACACCTTTCTTCCGAGGGAGCGAGCTCGTCGACATTTCGATGGAAACTCAAAGATGCTCGTGGCACAACTGTCTAGCCTTGGCGCACATCCCTGCCGACCAGATCCCTCGGTACCCCCGTCTACAGACTCAGGGCCGTCACTGGATCGCATGGGCTGGCGCACCAATCGCCAGAACGTGCCAACTACTAAATCTTGCAGGGTTATGTCAAGACTTCTCAACTATTCGAGCGGTAGCGGGCCAATTGCTCCTCTCATTTGAGAGAAGCCTTGACATCTTTGCATGCCCAAAATCTGCATATTCCATGCAAGTGAACGGCTGCGAATAGAAAGAAGAGTCTGTACCTGCCTCATGGCGTGATTTCCTTCTAGCAGCAGTAGGTTAGCACATCCGAGTGATCCGTGTCGTGTGATGAAGACCGAACATCACAGAAGCTGTCTGCGATGTGATATCCCGGTCAGCAGATCAACAGCCGATCACCAAGAACTGCAGTGGTTGCAGGACTCGTCAAAGGGGCCGATCCAAATCCCAAAGCAGGTCCGGCCCCATCTGACGTCGACTACATTGGCCGTTCCCTTCAAGAAAGTACTCTCAAGAACTTGCTTCAAGTATCAGCTTTGGAGCTTTGCCTGCAGTTTGCAGGCAGTTTGCAGGTGTGTGACTGTGAGTATCTCTCGAGACCGCAAACTTCCGGAGCCTAAATCTTCGAGGGTGTGGGACTACACCTGGCATGTTGCGAAGGATGCCCCAAGTCCGAAGCTCAGGACTGTGGTGACCGTACAGTTCATCATGCTTCCAGTGGTTGACTTAGACTTTGGAGTATGGAGCTTCGCAAGTAAAGGTGCCGAAACACTGTGTAAGGTTTCTCGGACATGACTAGTTGCGCCCGACACTACATTCAGAAGGCCCGACAAAGACTGACTCTTCTCTGAGAGGAGCACAGAATCTTGCCGGAAATAGGCCCACATATGTACAGATTCTCTATACTCTATACCCTGAATTGCCGTTAATTAAACACTTGGTACAAGGCCGTCGCTTCGCCAGCCACAAACGCTGGGTTTGGATGTTCGACCACGACTCCGTTGCCGTTCCTATCTACTTTTCTGATTCTCCCTCAGGCTCCCTCCCCTATCTACTCGCCTTCTGTTTCGCATTCTTCTTATGCTGCTGCTGCTACTCCTCCTGCTGTTGCTGTTGTTGTTGTTGCGATGACGACGACTACGACTACGAAGACCATCAGCACGACGTCGACGAATCTACCAGTAAAAACTACTAACAATTACCGACTACTAGAAAGTACCGCAAACTACTACTCCTCGTAGCACTCCTTACTACGACTAGTAGCAGTAGTAGTAGTAGGGTTGCCCCCCCCGGTGCGACGCCCAAACCTCTTATTTTTGGGACTTGCTGTGGTCGAAAATGCTGTGTTTTACAGCACTTTTTTTCCGCAGTTATCGAAAGTGACAACTGTTCCTGGTTTCGTGTGTATTTTTATCATATTTTCTAACATTGTTCATCAATGTCGCACACGAAAATGCTGGTATTTACAGCACTTGTCTTTGCGAATTTCATAATTTTTTAACGTTTTTGGGTGTCTCGATTTTCGTGCCCAAAACCTAGCGATCAGAATCAAGGTTTTTTGGGCCTCATTTTGATCATGATTTTTATTTAAATGGTTTGTTTGGAGAGCATCCATGTCCAAAACCTAATGACGTCCATGGTCTAGCGCATTTGGGTTTGGAGAGCATCCATGTCCAAAACCTGATGACGTCCATGGTCTAGCGCATTTGGGTTTGGAGAGCATCCATGTCCAAAACCTAATGACGTCCATGGTCTAGCGCATTTGGGTTTGGAGAGCATCCATGTCCAAAACCTAATGACGTCCATGGTCTAGCGCATTTGGGTTTGGAGAGCATCCATGTCCAAAACCTAATGACGTCCATGGTCTAGCGCATTTGGGTTTGGAGAGCATCCATGTCCAAAACCTAATGACGTCCATGGTCTAGCGCATTTGGGTTTGGAGAGCATCCATGTCCAAAACCTAATGACGTCCATGGTCTAGCGCATTTGGGTTTGGAGAGCATCCATGTCCAAAACCTAATGACGTCCATGGTCTTCTGCGACCGGCGTCGCACCAGGGGGGGACGGCCTAGTAGTAGTAGTAGCAGTAGTAGCAGTAGCAGTAGTGGCAGTAGTGCTAGCAGTAGTAGTAGCAGTAGCAGTAGCAGTAGCAGTAGCAGTAGGAGTAGTAGTAGTAGTAGTAGTAGTAGTAGTAGGAGCATCATCAATAGTAGGGGTAGTACTAGTACTGCTCCTCGCCCTAGTCCTACCACTATTCCTGCTGCTAACCTCGTCGGCAATACCAGTACTAGAAGGTTTGCAGCTGGAGCGTCAGGCCGGATGACGGAAGCTACTCTCAAAAGGCTGCTTCCTGCCCTTCCTTGGTTGACAAGTCAAGCGGGCTTTCGACTTTGTAGGATGTCTGAACGGCGACCCCAACATGACTGAAGCCAAACAGTTCACTGACAGCTCACAGGCATTCCAACGACCATCGTGAATGGATGTGCCCAAGCCTAGGATCCACAACTGGCTTCCAATTTAAAGAAGGGCATCCTCGTGCAGCTGCCCTTCGAATAGTCCGAGTCCGGACCGGAAATCCGGAAAGGTGCGGCCAAGAGTCACCTCGCCACCTGCCTCAGAGCGTCGGCTAGTGCCACTGCATCGGCCTCCGTGTCGTTCTTGAATCTCGTGGATTTTCTCTCTCCAATTCGATTTTTGATTCTCATACCGACCCTTTCCCAATCTCATGATTGCAAGACCTGGCTGTCGCGAGAGCATGCGCCAAGACTCTCGACATAGTTTCTGAACACAGCTATCAGTCACTGTCCCTCTGAAGCAGACATGGTCGCGCCTCTGAGTGGCAGATGTCGAAACCGAGTCGCAAATATCTTCCGTGTCGAGAGTCACACCTCGTCGGTGCACCACGCAGTGCTGCACCGAGACAATTGGGGTACTGAAGGGTCAGCCCTGAGCACATTGTACCGGCCCTATGGTTCGGCATGAGATTGAACATAAAGAAGAATCAGAAGACTGCAGCGATGTTGGTAAAACGTTAAGTTGCTCCAAGGGCATGCCAGTCTCGTGATTAAGGTGCGCATCCCCTCCCTGCGGCCCGAGCTCGAGAGAAAATCAATCTGCTTCAGCCCCTGGCAGGCTGAAGCCAAGCCCCTGAGCTACATCCGTTTAACACGAAAACCAAGGCCCCGGCTGGAAGCCCTTCTCCTGCAACGCCCGGGCGAGTTGGCCGGCACGAGCGCTGCGCAAGGTCAGAGCTTTGGAGACCTGATCAGCGATCCCGCTTGAAGGTTCTGGGGCCAGGCCACTGGTCATCTGTGTTGAGCTGCTGAGAGGTGTGGACACGAAGGACTATCGATTTGGAAGATCCACGCTCCAGTTTATTCGAGTGTCCGGAGTCTGATTTGTGGACTGTTGAAGTGTCTGTTCTGGAGCAGTCCTGCAGGACGGCGGGAGTATCATCGTAACTACTCGGGATGCAAGCGGGTGTTGTCTCCACGTCCTCACAGATTGCGAACTGCCGCGTGCACTTTCGTACGAAACTGGCACCCAAGCTGCCCCAAAATGCTTGGCCTCGTCGTTTTGCCGCCTGGTCCAGCCGACCACCTGCATTCGTTCACAGGCGGGTTGAGACCTTGTGAGTCAGATTTCAGGATGTGCTTGCAACCTAATATCAATCTGGGGAAAAGGATGTCAAGTGCTTGGGCCATGCCTGGAGTTCTATGTGGACTACAAACACCTGAATCTCCAAGCAAACTGAAAATCGCGTGATACGGCTTCACAACCTAAGCAAAGGATTCGAGTGTGCGTCACCTGACCCCAACAGCAAGCAAGAACAAGCAAAGGATGCGCAGGAACTTAAGTTGGAAGTGCTTCTTTCTGGTTGGCTCAAGAGCGAGAACAACGCAGCACGGTAGGCCTCCCCAGCAATCGTCTCGCCTTCGAGGGAGACTCCAAGCCTGCCCAGAGGTGTGTCCGTTTGTCCATGCAAGGCTAGCTATCTGCATCTGCATGACCACACGCACACAGACATGTAGTCACAACTCGGTGTCTATATATACAGACACACATGTGTACAAACACTTGCACAAAAGCATGAGTCTACACACCTGGTGTTCACACACACACACACACAGCCACACACCGACACACTTATCCATCCATCCATCCACCCGTATACATACATACATACATACATACATATACCAATGCCTAGTGCAATCGAATAGCATATACTATTAAGGTCCATTTGTGTATACAGTGCTTTGCTGTCACATTCTACCATGTTATGTCAAATTATGAAGTCTTTTTTGTATACATGCACAGATGTGTATGCTACAGTTTGTGCTTTATAATAACATGCATACACCTGCAGTCTGTGTATACAATGTGGCAGACATTTGTACGCATGACGGCACAGCCTCGGGCGAAATGACGCCTGTGCCATGATGGTCTGTCTCGATTCCGTATGTCTACGGATTGTCCTGTGACAGTAACCGACGGTCCTGTCAGTGGCCAGTGACGAAAGTAAGTTTTTGCAGCCTCCAAGCTGCTGTTCCCAAGTTTCAACAGCAATGCACGAGACTGAGCACTCGGGACCTCAAGCCTCAAGCAGTCATACTCGACCTCCAGCTGTATGACTTGACATGTGAAAGGTATCT